GAGCTGATAGGTACTGTACTCTAAACCCAAATGCAGGTTTAGGTACAAACAGGCCTCACCCACAGTTCTATGTGCACGATGCTCAGAATAAGATGTCTTTTGAATATATTGGCACAGGAGACAACTTCTTAAACAGAACACCAATAGCACAGGCACTAAGATCAACAACTAATAAATGGGACCTCATGAAACTGAAAAGCTTCTGTAAGGCAAAGGACACTTGTCAATAGGACAAAACAGCAGCCTATAGAATGGGAAAAGATCTTCACCAACCCATATCCAACAGAGGGCTAATATCCAAAATATATAATAAAGAACTCTAACTATTTATCAAGAAAACAAGTCCAATTTAAAAATGGGGTACAGAGCTAAACAGAGAATTCTCAATAGAGGAATCTCAAATGGCTGAGAAATGTTCAACATTCTTAGCTATCAGGGAAATGCAAATCAAAACTTTGAGATTCCATCTTACACAAGACAGAATGGCTAGGATCTTCTGTAATCAAGAAAGACATTCAGTATTAGGACTGGGACATCAACCCAGCCACAAAACCTTTAATCTACAACCTGTCCTGCCTGCAAGATGTGCTGGGGCAATGGCGGCTCAGAGCTTGTGGGAGTGAACAACCAATGACTGGACTAACTTGAGGCCCAGGCCATAAAAGGGAACCCATGGCCCCCAACACTCCCTGATGGTCAGGAACAGGAAGCTGAGTGACCCTGAGACCTAGGATAGAACAAATCATGATTGGCCAAAAAATAAAAATTTAAAGTCAATGAAATGATTCCTAATGATATTCTGCTATATTCATAGATCAGTACCTAGCCCAATTGCCATCAGAGGCTTCCTCTGGCAGCTGATGGGAGCAGATACAGCCAAACGTTAGGCAGAGCATGGGAAACTAACTTCTGGGAAGTTGGGGAGGAAGGATTGTAGGAGCCATAGGGGTACAGGACACCAGAACTCAGAATCAACTAAGGAGGGCTCACATGAGCTAAGAGACTGAAGTGGCAACCACAGAGTCTGCATGGGTCTGTACTAAGTACTCTGTATATATGTTGTGGTTGTTAGGCTTGGCGTTTTGTGTGTGGGGGGGGGGGGTGGGAGGTGTCTCTGACTCTTCTGCCTGCTCTTGGGACCCTTTTCCTCCTACTGGGGTTGCCTCATCCAGCCTTAACCAAACCTGCAGCCTCCTCTTCTTATCCCACCATACACACAATACATTGAACTTCTTGATGTTTGAACATAACCCCATCTGAGTAGCACACCATACTCTCCTTTGCCAATGTACCTCCTCCTCTAGTAAGTTGATACCCGATGCCCATTTGTATATGAATTGTTTCAGGTCTTTGTAATCAATTTTTTACTTTACGATCTCACTGATTTTGACAATCCCAGATTAAGTTGTACCATTGAATGCCAGGTATGCTAAAACACTTAAAACCTCCAGGGATGGGTCTTAGTTTTAGGCTGTGATTTTGGTTTGCTCAATTGTTAAGTTCTTATTACAAATAGTTAAGATTTAAAATTATCTTCAGATACATTCAGATCACATCAGTTTTGCATTTGAGTGGTTCTGTAACAGTATCAGGCCACTCCAATTTGCTTTTCCTATATATACAATGACCACTGCATACTGTAAATCTTTATCCCAAACTATACCTGTCAGAAATCAGTGCAAAACCATCTTACCATTAAAATCTTTTAAATTTAAATCAATAAGGTATTTGAAGCAGTTTAGAAAAACAAGATTTGTATTTTATTTCCTTGTAAAAATCTTTACACATGCAGACAAACCAGTGTTAAGAAAGTATTCACCATCATTTAAACAAATAACCACTTAAATAGAACAGTGTCTGCAAGTTTTATCTGTATAAAAATAAGATACATTTTTACAGAATTCACACTCCAGTTCTTATAGCAATAAACAATACACAACTATAATAAAGTACAATTGAACCTGACCATGGTTTTCAATTAGATACTGCTAGGGCATTTTAATGTGCAAAAAACCTTACCATAGTTCTTTTCCAAAGAAAATGTCCTCAGTGTTTCTAGAGACCTAGACAATTTTAATAAATCAATTCCTAATCAGTTTGCTTTATGTTTTGATTGAGTCCATACATCACACTGCATAGAGGCAAAACCAGAAGCAATGCAGTATCAGAGAAGAAAGTCAACGCCTATGCCTGCCATGTCCTGAGCGACTGCCACTGTGGTGCTTGCCTTTGTGGGATCTCTCAAAGGAGCGAGATCTTTCACGCCTGTCTCTGTGATGTCCCCTTTCATGCCTGTGTTTCTTGGCAACATCTGAGTGATCCCGAGACTTGCTCTGAGATCGAGACCGAGATTTTTTCCTTTTATGACCATGTCTATTTGAACTTTTTAAATCTTCTCTGGTATGTTTGGCCTTAAGGTGAGGAGAACCATGATTATGATGTCTTCGAGGGCTTTCACTGTGACTGCGGGACCTGCTTCTTGATCTTGAGCTGTATGTTCCAGATCGACTTCGCCTATTATTATAACTTAAACAATAAAAATTTCAAGTTTAGTTATGATTTCTACTGGCAATAGATTAGTACCTGTTGGTCATTAGCAAGTTCAAAACAATCAGCTATGAGCAATGAAAAGCTTAACTGACATGTTCCTCAGTCTCCCCATGCTGACCTCTCTCAACTGAAGCTTTATACTGTTACACAAAACATCCTATGCCTGTATTCCAGTAAAGAGGGGAGGGTCACCATTGTGTCCCAGAACTCTGTTCTTTTTACTGAGTTATCTCTCACCTGATCAAGTGCCACTGAAGCACCAGAACCTGCCAACAAATTACAAAGCTGACTGGAAGTCTTAGGCTTTTAATACACTAATGAAATATTCACATTTCTAACAAACTGAATGTAAAGAATGTTTTCATGTTATGAACAGCTTTATATACATATACCCCCAGGGCATTTTCTGGACACTTTTCAGAAAGGGGGTGGGGGTGGGGCACGGCGAGACAGAGTAGAATGCACAAAATGCCATTAAGGCACACTACTAGGGTCAGTGAGATGGCTCAGCAGGTAGAGGGGCCTGCCACCATCCCAAAGACCAGAGTTTGATCTGGGACCCACACAGTGGAAGTAAAGGACTGACTTTTTACAAATTTTCCTGTAACTTCTGTGCATAACCAACTTATGCATATTTAAAAACACACAACTAGGGCTGGAGAGATGGCTCAGTGGTTAAGAGCACTGACTGCTCTTCCAGATGACCCAGGTTCAATTCCTAGCACCCATGTGGCAGCTAACAACTGTCTGCAACTCCAAGATCTGACACCCTCACAGACGTACATGCAGGCAAAATACCAATGTACATAAGAATAAATTAAATAAACACACACACACAACTAAAGTACCACATACATCCAAAGTATGTCCTTAGGTTTATTTCTCTTTACGTTAAGCCTAATCCTGAAGCATGCTTGTAATCCTAGCAAACTGGTGCTATACCGTAAAACCTGCTAAACAAACAAAAAAGCCCAAACACTCATTCCTAGCCTGAAGCCCACCCCCAATCTTCAAAGGCCCTAAGCCCATCCCACACAGGACCCATTACTCACTGTCTTCTTGGGGTATGTGATCTGGAGCGTGATCTGGTTCTTGACCTTGATCTACTAGCACTTCTGCTGTTTCTGCTTCTTTTGCTGTCTTTTCTAACACTTAAAAAAAATGCAGGCAGCATTGTTTACATTGTTTCAGGGAACGCACAAAGGTTTAACAATGAACACTCAAGCCTTTGAAGTACACTCACCCATTATAAGGGCTTTTTGAAGCCTGCTGTCTATCCTCAGGTTCTTTTTTGACTGTCTTCACATTAATGGAGATTGGTGACTTCTCTTCAGCTTTTACTTCTCTTGGTGATGCTTTTAAAAGACAAGGACAATATATTAAGGACAGGTTTTACAAAGAACCATTTCCCAATACACCCAAAAGTACTACATTTCTAACCCTTAGATCCAAAAAACCCAGTAACTATTTCTTAATGGTCTCTAAGCAAATGACCAACGCCAAACCTTTCTAAAAAGGTACACTTCCAGCGCTCCCATTTCATTCAATTCTGATTGTATCTTACATGGTTTAGAGGCTGGAGAAAATCCACCAAGAGTTGAAAGGGCTGGAGTTCCATCAGGATTCAATCCCTTTGCTTTCAACTTGGCTTCCTGTAAGGCTACTTTTCTTTTTTCTACTTCTTTTTCCAGCAATTCATAGTTAGGCTGTTGGATGAAAAATCAAGTTAGCATTCCCTTTAGATTCTTGGAAATGCCATCAGCACCAAACGCAGTAACTGAAATTACCTTTTTCCTGGTGTAAAGTCTAAGTGTCTCTATGCAGATTTCCTGGATCTCCTCTTCTGTGGTACCAAAAAGAAGAAACCAATGGGGCCGTGTTGGCAATGGAATCTAAACCATTAAAAACAGAATGGTTCAAACTTACACTTTTCTCAAAAGTAACAAGACTCCTAGAATTTACTTTGTAAAGCACAGCAGACTGTACACTTGCCTGAAGTGCTCTAGCTGCCAGGTAGATACAAGCACACGCTATAGTCTCTGGTTGAAAGCGAACAAAAACATTGGTTCGAAGACTGTCATTCATGTAATTCCTGAAAAACATTTCAGCTGTAAGCTTAGTCCATAAGCAAATCAATTGTTCTGAGGTGCATACAAAATTGGAGACTCAATCTACTTCATTCTTTTTTCTTCTCCTTATACTCACATCTTTACTATGTTAACAGTTTCTAACCCTTTCCCCCACAGCACTTTTCAACAATTCCTTATCAGCAATCTAGATCTTACCCCTAAAATCCTCTTTCAACATACTGTCCTAAAAGGTAATGATTCTGAAGTCAATTCTGACATATGAGTTTCAGAGTTCACCACTCCAACAATACTTCAAGCCTTTAGTTACTGACCATCTCTCCTTTATCCATAATGAAAAGCAGTGTCAACCAAGTTCTTTAAAAAAAAAAAATCAATACCAGAAACAGGGGTAAAAAGGTATTTTTAGTAAGAATCCATCAATTTACTCTTACAGTTAGAAGGAAAAAAAAAACTTCAAAAAAAATCTAGGTAGAGAAGTGAGCAATAATACACATCATAATGGCCTTGTTTACATACCTTTTTGCAATTAAGCATAAATAAAAGCAATGATCTAACTTAATAAACTTCTGAAACTTCTAGAGAAACTTTCCCATGAAATTCCTTAACTAAAAAAAAAACTTTATATTTGCTAAAAAGCCTGAGCTGGAAATTAAATGGATTAGTTCTAAAACCCTTACATTTGTTAAAAGTATTATAATTTTTTTGGCTGCACAGAATACATTAAAAACTCATGCATTTTATAGAGAAATGTGGCTTTTCTAATGTTACCATTATCTACTGAGTCCAAAAGAAGCATGGCAGTCATATAAAAAAGATGTATTTCTGGGAAAGTCAGAATTATTTAATGCTTGTTTATCAACAGTCATATAAATCATTTATGGCTAAACCACAATTTCCTTGTTTACCCTTTCTGTATCTCAGAGGCCCAAGTTCAAAAATATTTAAATAACATGAACTTTTCTTTTTAAAATTATATGCTTCTTGTATCACTGCCTGCAATGGCTCACTAGCTGGAGTAACCTACAATGGCAACAGGTACCCATTTAAAGCTACATGGTTAAGGTAGCCTCCTTTGGTAGAACGGATGCTATACACACTGCACGTAGAAATTTAACTGAACCCAATTTAAAAAAAAAAAAAAACAATTCATAATGGCTGGACAACAATCTATCAAAAATGAAATATTCATTTTGATAGTTACAGGTATACATTAAATACATAGGCATGATGCATAGTTACTTCTAGAAGCAAATATACAAATCCTTTTGACACCCCGACAGAACTAGAAGATGCTGCCAGATGGATATGGACCACTTCAGTGAATCTCGGATGAGAGCTTGCACTGGATTGGCTGGAGAGCAGGCTAGCCAATCAGGCCATCCTGAGGTCATGGGCTGAAGTGCAGAGGGCAGAGTTCTATGACTTACCATCATGGACTACCCTTTAATTAAAGAGTAGAAAAAAGAACAAAGTTAAATTGAGTTCTCCATTAAAAGTAATTAGTCAAGCCAAGAAAACAGGAAGCAGAAATAAGCATTATTTACCTTTTGGTTAAAAAACAACAAAAACAAAATGCCCCAAAACAAACTTATTTCATTATTTTGGAAAGAAAAAAATGAAACTTACTTTATTTCTGCTTCTGTTTTCCTGACTAAAGAAGAAATGTAAAAAAGCAACTTACCAGGCAGTTTGAACCAGGGTTTGGTTCCGCTCACACTCTAAGACTTGTAAATACATCACAATGATCTGAGGAGAAAAAGAAAAAACCATTCAGCGTATTGGTGGTTCTTTCACAGCAGAGGTCAATGAAAAAAGCATCAAGTGTTAGTTACAACTTTAACTCCTATACAATTACAAATATAGGCCAACGTCAAACATACCAAACTCAGTGTGGATTATACATTACTCAATTCTATAAAAATGTGATGTAAGTGGTGGTTAACAACTTTTTTTCCCTAGCATTCATCAAAGAGAGCAGAATTTATGCTATGAGAGTACACAATGGCCACAGCACATTTTCTAGAATACTAAGCATTACAGCAATTAATTTCTGCAGTAAAGCTTAGCACACTAAAGTTTCTTAAATAAAAGCTACATATAACTCAATGATAGAATGCTTGCCTTGCATTTGGCTCCCAGCAAAACACAATAAATACATATAACTACTTCAGTTCATGCCAAGTGTTTCTGGACCTCGTTATCATTTTATAATTTTACAAAAATAGAACTTGAAGATACCAGGAAGTGTCACCCAGTTAAGAGCAGAGCTAGCTATCTCCAATAGTCCCAATTCTTGCAACTACTGTTCAGAAGGGCAACAGGAAAGAAAGCCAAAAGAGAAAGCTTTTATGAACGGTTTACAGTGAGCAGCTAACATTTTCAACACTTTAACGTGCCAGTTTCTACATGTATGTACAATTCATTCCTTACATAAGGAATTCCATCACAAGAGTTTGTTAGGCGGAAAAACTAAAACTTAACCACAAAGAATATTCATGATCACACAATTACAAATAACAAAGCCTGTTTTGAGTACCATTTTAATGACAGACATCAACACCTAAAAGAAAGCTTTTGAAAACTCAGATGAACTCTCCATATAAGTCAAAATTTTAAGCAAAAAAGCCCTAATACTTACGAAATGTAATTTCTGCATTCTATAACTCACCTTATGGGGATGCTTGACATGAACACAAAATCCCAACTCCTTTAGCACCCTCCTTTCTGCCTTGATAACTTGATTTTTGGTGTTTATGTAGTTCTGATCAAGGATCAGAGGGCTTGGAGTCCTATAGTTTGTAAGAAATAAAATCAAAACTGTTTTGCACATCCAAAACCTTTTACTTGTGGCATCTCCATTTTCCCTTCCAACCAACTATTGGCAACAGAAACCAGCTTTTTAAACTCCTGCTAACAAGTTAAAGCATTTATCTTATGCTGTCCAAGTTATGCTAATTATACGCAACTAGACAAAGCTCCTAAAACTAACACAACTTACACACACACACACACACACATTCTTAGGTCTGACTTTTTCTTCTTTAACTTATGCACTTAACTTCAGTGATAAACATTGGCACAAACCTCATCAGCTTCCCAGAAGAAACTTCGCAATGACAAGAACCAATGTGATCCTGAAAGATTTACTATAAAGCTCTAATATGAACAAAGACCTAGAAAAATTCTGAGTAAAACCTTGCTAAATTTATGGTCAACAAACTAAAAACAAATACACAAAGAATATCTATCTGCTTAATCAGCACCTACCCCTGGTCAAAAAAACAAAACAAAACCCCATTAACAACAAAAAAGCAAACCCAAAATTAGCTCAATTGCCAAATGAATATTAAAAAACAAAAAAACCGGTTTAAGAGTAAATTAGGTAGCTCGGTCAATGTAGCTCCTGAGACTGGAAGGCCAGAGAGGGAACGAGACTCAGAAACCACATTCAAGGCCTGTGTGGATGTCCCCCCACCCCAACTGTTTTCATAAGTTATTTTTCATATTGGGGGAAGGAAGGGACACCTAGCCACTCATTAAAAAGTCATCTCATGTACATCATGTAAGTTTGTTTCTTTAAAAAAAAAAATGGTTATGGAGCTCATTTTGCCTCACCCACTAGAGCGGGTCATGTTAGAGGCAAGTGCAATCTGGCTTGTCTTACAATCTGCCAGTTAAGTAATGTTAATGTCATCTATGAAATTTAGCATGTTTTTTGATACATTCTTATCTCAAACAGCAAGATGTACATGTCTATTAATGACTGTACAATAAGTATATGGGTAGAATATCATTTAAACACATTCTCAAACATTCAATTCATTTTCAGACAAGTTCCAAGTTTTATACTCTAGAGAATGCACTATCTGAATACTTCAATATACAACCTGCTCAGAAACAAAGAGCCTATTTACGCATAACCACTTGAAGGTAATGAAACAATCTAATCTGTAATGTTGAGCCAAGAGTAGTAGCTCACACCTGTAAGCCCAACACTACACGGGGGTGGGAGTAGAGGAATGAGGAGACAAAGACTTCAAGGACATCCTCCATCCACTAAATAGGTGAACTGAGGCCAACCTGAGTTAACACAAGACTGAAAAAAAAAATCTGAAATGAAGTACATTACTACCTCCCTGGTATCAGGCTATCAAGAGAAAAAAAAAAAAGGTATTTTATATTTTCCTTATTTCACTTAAAAGCAAAATCAGTTACTGTTATTCTGTAACTTTATGTTAAATAATTAATAGCTGGCAGAAGTAACACCATTAACAGTAACAAAATAATGACGCTTCAAGTTCAATATCTACTACATTTTCAAAGTGTGAGAAATTTTAAGGTAGTTAAGTAGGGCAATGGCCTGTTTTGAATCAGTTTTATCAGGACAATTGCACTTAAAAGTAAAGTTTAACTCAAATGGGAGCAACCAATGTATGTATGAAAACATACTCCAAAGAGATACTATGTAAGGGTTTATGATTTTTCAGGTTTTATAAATGCATTATAAGGTTGTCCTTCAACTGGTATTAGGAGTCAGAGGCTCAAGTTTATTTGTACACAGCTTAGTTCTTAACCCCTGAAATCCAGACAGTAAGTAAACAGCACCATTAAAATCCCTATACAGCTGCTGGTGGTGGTGGTGGTGGTGGTGGTGGTGGGCACGCCTTAAATCCCAGCACTCGGGATGCAGAGCCAGGGAGATCTCCGTGAGTTCAAGGCCAGCCTGGGCTACAGAGTAAGTTCCAGGAAAGGCACCAAAGCTACACAGAGAAACCCTGTCTCGAAAAACCAAAGAATAAAATAAAATAAAGTCCCTATACAAATAGTTCACAAAAGCCAAGTTCTCTCACTTTTTTTCCTCATGTGTTAAAATGTATACCATAGCTTACTAAGAAAACTGTTCTATAGTTAGTTATCTTTAAATGGCAATAAAATCTGTCATTAAACAGGTAAACAAGTTTTCAATTGTGGCTACCAACTGGTGCCAAATTTAAGGATTCATCATTAATTCTTCTTAAACAAGTATCTTAGAGTTACTCCTCTGCCATAAGCACATTCCCCACATCAGAATCCCATAGAACATGTAAAGGCACAGGCTTTGTTTAATCCCAGGAGTAAAACGGTTAAGGCACAAGGATCATAAATCTCAGGCCACCCCAAGCTAACACAGTGAGACCTGAATCTTAAAACTCCAAACAAACCAACCTTACTACAACTCAACCGTCTAAGCTCTTGTTCAGTCTTGCCACTACCAATTTTTTCCAAGTTAGCTTTGTAAATGGATAATCTTGTCTTCATTTTGCTCAGAAATTTACCTCATAAATCAAGACAAGCTCAATGAATACAAAATTAACAACTACTTTTACAGAAGCATTTTATACCATGATAAAACATAGAAAATGTCTCCATAAATCAGTAAGCAAATATTCTGAAAAAGCATTTAAGCAGCAAAAGCTTTTTATATTAACAAAGCAATCAAACAGAAATGTTTTTAGCAATACATTCCGTTGAATCAAGGCTTGGTAGAATTTCCTCCCAATCAAGTAAGCATCCTTGATCAACACTAGATGAAGAGGTGGTACTTAAAGCTGAGGGAGTTAAGTCCTCATCTTTTCAGAACTCAGGAATATGGACAACACTCAAAACTACCAAACTCCACCTCTGAAGATTCTTTATTACCTGACTTTGCTCATTAACTGATCTGAAATCAAATTTCAATCTTTAGGAACTCTTGGTCTGTTTATTGTAAGTTTGTATGACAGCTACTTTCTATGGTATGCCTGAAACACAGCATATGACAAAACTTTAGAAGTAGGGGGTTCAAGCATGGTTAGTCTCATGTATTACAAAGGACTGATACTCTGGAAGTAGTACAAAGAACCACACTATAAACCAGATGGGTAATTAATAATATACAAGTAGGGAGACAGGATTCTTACTCAACACACAGAAATTTCTAATGCTTATTTTGAAGTAAACAGGAACATTCCTTAAATGTCAAACTGAAGTTACCTCAGAACCACAGAAATAAACTACAAATGGTTAAATTGTCAATACTGACCTGACCCTTCCAATTAATTCTTACTTTTATACATTGAAAATAGCATCAACAGTCACCAATAAAGGAGTTAAGTCTTTACATTTATCTTGTAACATAAACCTTAAAAGATATGAACAGACTTCTTTAAAGAAAAAAATTCTTAACACACTGGGAATGTTACATATAAATAGCAAATTGTATCTGAAAACTACTGGTATGAATAGCTTTTTTTTTCCTTTAAATTCAGCTATTCTGAAGAGCTATCAAACTATGAAAAAAACTATGGGGGGGGGCAAGTCAAATATCTCATATTGAGAACTGGACACTGGTATTACTGTTATCTTTGTGTAGCCATAACTACAAACAATGACTTTAAGGCTACATGCATGCACCCCCCTGTAGTTGAAAAGGCCATACAGTAACCTAGTTAGCATTCAAATTGTACTAAAATTCTCAAGACAAACATCAGAGTATAACATTTATGAATACTCTCTAACAATACCTACTATGCAAAGAACACAAAACACCTTACTAAGCTATAGTTTTAATAACTTGGACAGCAAAGAAAAAAGCTTGTAACCAGAAACAGGAGTTTTTTGTTTGTTTGTTTTTTTCTCTAAATGGTTCACCAGTGGCCAACCTGTTAGTCCCCGATTCCAGTGACCTATTCTCAGAACACTGGCTTCTCCTTGGGGATTTTCGATACTTCACTCACTGTTGCCATGACGACAGCTTCATCTCTATGTACCACTCCACATCACCCAGGCTTTGGTAAATGTAGCTGGTCGCTGTATAGTCGGTTGCAAGGGAAAAAAGAGTTGAAGTTAATAACATATACAAGTTACATGTCTGAGTAAACTTGTAAAATGCATAGAAACACTTATATCCTGCTTTTAAAAGGGGGGGCTTCCATGCAATTAACTTCTTTAAGAATTTCATGCTATAATCAAACTCGTAACATTGAAAACAAAATCAATTTCTTTAATGATGACCAAAAATGCAGTTACATCCAATACAAGTCAGTCAGATTGGATAATTTTGAATTCTGAAGTTTTATAATTAAGATGATCCTATTCTGACAATCAAGGAAAGTCAAGTCCCATAGGAAAATGCCACAATGTAATTATAGTTGGCTCAATGACTCATATACTAGAAAATATCCTTTTAAAGCAGAGTCCTTTGACTAAAGAATTCTCTATTTTATCAGTGTTTCATTTAAAAACACCCTGAAAAAAACAAAAACTTCAGCAACTATCTAAATAGAAATAAAAGCTCAGAACATACTAAACACCAGTCTGAAATTCTATTTCTCTACTTTCTTCACAAACTAAAAAGTCTTCAAACAAAAGAAGTATCTGGGAACACACTAAGATGGGGCTGAAAAGGAATGAAGAAAACAAAAGCTATTAAAAAAAAAAGAAGAAGAAAAACAACCCAGGGCAGTAATTTTTGACCATGCTACCCATTTTGAACTCACTTTCCTATCTGCTTATCTGGCTACCACCTTCACTACCACCAACCAAGACTATATATGATACTCATTTGGACTAAGCAACACCCAGCTCCCAAAACAACTTACTTTTCACAGCTAACTTCCTTTCAAACTAATCACAATTCCTCAGAAATTAATCTACACCATGACTATCCATCAGCGTGTCCTAGAATCACCTGTAGAACAGGGAGTCCTGCAACAAACTTTGGTACTGCCATAGATGAACACACAGGCCCACATAGTTACCAGATTATCACTACACCTCAAAGATACTGTTTCAGACTGTATTTTCTTACAAGATCAGATAAAGAGCCCTATCTGAAGGCAACTCAATGAGTTATTTTTCTAACCCACTCACTGAGACTGTATCTAACCAAAACAAAATACCTGTTCAATCCCTTTGACTTCAAACTTTATCATCCTCCAGTCCTTTCAGATCCGGTATTATTCGATATATCGTAGTTCAATGTTGAGAAGTACTCTAACAAAAGCCAACCTCAAGTGATGGAGAAACTGGGGCTCCAAGCAGAGTAACAACCTACACGGAACTTTGCCACAATATTAACTTGAACTACAGGGCTTTCACGTTCAGCCTTCAGTTTTCCAGAGAGGGGAGGGGAAAAAGAACTTACAGAATACACTCCCACTTGAGCCAACCGTACTCCCTTTCTTGTTTAATCTTAAGCCAAGGGACTGGCTTCACAGCACTGCTACGATTGTCCACAAATGCAACTGCCTCTACGAACTTTAGATAGCTGGTTAATTGAGGGGTTTTTAAAGTTTAAGTTTCAGTGTTCCTATGTGAATTTCAACACCTAATGCCAGTTTGCTTTTGCATCCGTACTGACTTGAGGAAGAAGAAAAAAAAAAGGTGTTTTGACTCGATGATTGGTGTACAACAGCAGTAGCAAGAAACTATGTTCAATAAGCCAATCTTACCTTTTTCCTCTTAACTGGCGGAGGTGGTGGAATACATTAATCACATCTCTTATTCTTCTTGGTGCTTCTTCGATTTTTGATGCAAGATTAATACAGGCCATGGCAACAATCTGAAAGAACCCACGAGGGGACAAAACTTATAACGAAGTATAAAGTTAAACTAGAAACAACTCTGTCCAAAGTCTAACAAAAATTACTTTTAAAAAGAAACTCTAGGATACAACGGGGCTTCTGGCGAAATAAAATCAAGGGCGACATTTTTAGAGCACGGGCCTTAGCAGCTATGTGCGGTTTTATTGCTCAACTGTTCCTAATTTTGGACCAGAATCAAGCTAACTCCCCCAGGAGTTGCTCGGGGGGCCTGAGACCGTAGTTCTTGGTAACAGAGCACGTGGACTCGGGTTCCATTTTCTAGTTCTTGAAACACGTTCTAAGGGCCGCATTTCCTTGTGGGTGGGAACGAGGTACAAAGGCCCAAGCTAACCACTCCCTTTCTGGAAAAGCTGGTTACTACCCCTTCCTTCCCGCTTCCGGATGAAGCAATCCCTTCTCGCCCGCCCCCGCCGAGCTTACCTCGAAACTGTGTTTGACGAAAGACTTGGAGTAGAAAAAACGATGAAACAACACCTGCCCCGTTGCCATCGCCACCTGCAGACAAGAGAGGAGAAACGGAAGCGCCGGGGTCAGGCGGGCCCGCACCAGGCGCCGCCGCCGCCGCCGCCGCCGCCATTTTGTGCGGCCGCTCGCCTCCCTTCCCCCCCGCCCGCCCGCCCGGGCCGCGCGGCGCCGCCGGCCCCCGCACCCCTCCGTCCCCGGCCGCCCGCCCGCCCGAGCTCCCGCCGCCGCCCGGCTCAGGCTCCCGAGAGACCCGGCCGCGGCGGAGACCCCGGCACTCCACCGGGACTCTCACCTGCGGCAAGCGGAGGAGAATGCCGGCGGCCTGGATGAGCTCGCAGCCCAAGATGCGCAGGTCCGTCTCGCTGGGCAGGTCGAGGCCGTCCTGCATGGACGGGGTAGGCGAGAGCCGCTCCTCCGGGATCAGCGAGTGGTCGATGGTAAGCGACACCTCCGAGTACAGGCGGTCGCCGATCAGGATCCCTCCGGTCGTCGTCGTCGTCGTGGTCGTCGTGCCTGAGCTGGAGCCGCCGCCCGCGCTCGGGGCGGCGGACGAAGCGGAGGCGGCGGCGGCGGCGGCGGCAGCGGTCGAGGTCGGGTGAGGCCCGGACGCCATAGTTCCAGCGAGCTGCACGCACGGCCGACGCAGCCGGAACCCAAAGCGAGACTAACCAGCGTCCTCGGCGCGACGGATATTCCCGTGACCGCCGGCTTCCAGGCCGCTGCACGCAGCGTGCGCTTCCGCCCTGACGTCACCACGCCGACGCCCCGCCCCGCCCCGGCGCGCGCCAACGAGTTCCTCCCGGCTGAGATAGGCGGGGAGGCTCCCCGGCGGCTCAGGGCTGCCGGGTCGGTAATCCCTTTGGGCACCGGATAATCCGCCTGGTGGGTCGGCCCCCGAGACCCCTGGGCGGTGTGCGTCCGGCCACCGGCGACACCCGTGTGTAAAGTGACTCCCGAACAGGGGCAGCCTCAACCGTTTTGAGAAACAAGGGAGGGAGGTGAAGCGCGCCGTCTTCCGGGAAGCACCCGGCGCGCGTGGGTGTCGGGGTGTAGCCGGGGAGACGTAGGCCTGGCCCTGTGACCTCACCTCGCCGGGTTTACAGTAATCTGGAAAATCCCTGGCTCCAAAAATAGACTTAGGGTGAGGACATGACACCTGGCGATTTCACTGCACCAGGGAGTCTAAGTCTAAATGGTTCCTGTAGTTGAGAGTCGGGAAAGGAACGTCCTGTTTATTACACTGAACCTATGTCAATGTAAAAAACAGCTCTTGCGGTCGGGGCGCAAGCCTTTAATCCCAGCACACGGGAGGCAGAGCCTGGTGGATCTCTGTGAGTTCAAGGCCAACCCTGGCTACCAAGTGAGTTCCAGGAAAGGCGCAAAGCTACACCGAAAAACCCTGTCTCGAAGGAAAAAAAAAAAAAAAAAAACATACAATTTTGGCCAGGCGGTGGTAGCGCATGCCTTTAATCCCAGCACCCGGAAGGCAGAGGTAGGCGGATCTTTGTGAGTTCAAGGCCAGCCTGGACAGAGAAACCCTGTCTCAAAAAAACAACAACAAAAACAAAACAAAAAAACACAGCTCTCGTCTTACATGGAATTTGGGGTAACCTAAATTTGTGTTCCCGGGCCATGGACCAAAATGGCTCCAGGATAAAACATTTCTGAATTCCCTTTAGCATAAGAGCTGTGGTTTTTACTTCTACACTAAATCTCCCAAATAGCTGAGGCCGCCGACATTGGAACAGTAGATCCTCCTCCCTCCATCTCAGGAGCCTCTGGCCGCGCAAGGGTCTTATAGTCTATCTAGTTCCAGCCTCCGAGATACTCTCTAGGGAGAAGAAAGAAATCTTTCTCCTAATACACAGCTTGGGGATTGTTACTTTGTTTTGTTTAAGGCTTAATGTCTGGATGAAAAGGGCCTTAACCTTGCACCTATAGAGTATGAGGAATTTAGATACATCTTAATATTTGTCAGTTACTGTCACCGAAGCAAGATTTTTTTCGGGGGTGGGGGCGGGGGATTCAAGACAAGGTTTCTGTATGTAGCCTTGGAACTCGCTCTGTAGACCAGGCTGGCTTCAAACTCGGAGATCCGTCTGCCTCCTGAGTGCTGGGATCAAAGGCATGCACCACCACCACCACCACCCTCTGTCGCAATAAGACATTTTTACAGCTCATTTTTGCTAGGTGTGTTTGGACAAGCAATCTGGAGACAAAGGCAGGTGGATCTCTGAGTTCAACATCAGACTGGTCTACATATGGAGTTCCAAACCAGTTAGAGCTACATAGTAAGTTTCTCAAAACAAACCCCTTAAAAAACAAAACTTTAGCCAGTCGGCAGTGGCGCACGCCTTTAATTCCAGCACACGGGACGCAGAGGCAGGTGGATCTCTGTGAGTTTGAGGCCAGCCTGGTTTACAGAGCAAGATCCAGGACAGGCACCAAAACTACATAGAGAACCCCTGTCTCCAAAAACCAAACAACAAAACAAACAAACAAAAAAAACTACTTTATATAGAGCTGAGTCTCAGCACTCAACAAAACAAAAACCTCATAAATCCGTGATTCTGATAGCTTTTTGGTTTTGTTTTGTTTTTTTCTGAGACAGGGTTTCTCTGTGTAACAGCCCTGGCTGTCCTGGAACTCATTCTGTAGATCAGTCTGGCCTCGAACTCACAGAGATCTGCTTGCCTCTGCTTCCCAGAATGCTGGAACTAAAGGCATGGGACACCACCTCGCAGCAATTCTGATAGCTTTTGGTGTTTCATCAAGTGATCGTTACCCTAACTAAGACACTATACAAACTAAAAATGTGATAAATTAGTTGTTTGTGTTTTGGGAAAAGGGTCATCCTATGTGGACTCATCTCTAGTTTGAGATCCTTCTGTCTTAGCTTCCATAAGCTGAAACTACAGACATATCTCACTACACTTGGTTCCAAAATGTGATGAATTTGGGTAAGGCTTTGTAAAAGAAGGTTTGAAGGACCTCTGACATACATTATTAAGTGAACAAAAGGGAGTTGCAGGGCCAGGAGAGATGTCTCAGCAATTCAAGAGTGCTTACAGCTCTCACAGAGGACCTGAGTTCGATTCCCAGAGTCCACATTGGTGGATCATACCCATATAACTCCAATTCCATGAGATCTGATGCCCTCTTCTGGCCTCTGTAGGCTTCTGTACAACGTGTATATAAATTCAGGCAAGCATACACACGAAAAAAAAAAGTAGTGAAATGAAGTTCCAGTATAATATGAAATGACTCCCTTTACATGAAATTAAATTATACACTGAATAGGAACACAAGTGTAGCTTGTTAAGCACAAGAATAGCAAGAGGGCTGGTTGGCGGCGGCGGGCGGCGGCGGCGGCGGCGGCGGCGGCGGCGGCGGCGCACGCCTTTAATTCCAGCACTCAAAGGCAGAGCCAGGTGGATCTCTGTGAGTTTGAGGCCAGTCTGGTCTACAGAGAGAGTTCCAGGAAAGGCACCAAAACTACACAGAGAAACCCTGTCTCCACAGGAAAAAAAAAAAAAGCAAGAGGCCTGGGTTCAATCTTCAGAACAACCAAACCAATACTCTGGATTGGAGGTGGGTGGGAAGGAGGTTCCTGGTTCTCTTTGTATACTTTATACAATTCTACACGTGGTCTTAACTAAAAGGCCAAGGACCAATACAATTATCAAGCTTTCTATAGTGAAGGAACAATTCTTTCAACTTGGTATAAAAGGTAATAAAATCTGATAAAGATGAATTACTAGTCAGATGAAACTTCAAGACATAAAAATGCAAGCCTGAATTATCATTAGCATAAACAGAAATATTAGGTCAACATGACATTATCAGTGAAAAACACAACTCCAAACTCCAAAGTTTGTAAGAGATAGTTTATTCTGAGCCAAATGTGAGTGTCCATGACCCAGGGTACTGGCTAGTCTTGTGTCAGCTTGACACAGGTTATAGTTATCTGAGAAAAGAGGACCGAAATTGAGAAAATGCCTCCATAAGGTCAGACTGTAGGCAGGACTGTAGGCATTTTCTTAATTAGTGATTGATGGTGTGTGTGTGGGGGGGGGGGACCCAGGCATTGTAGATAGTGCCACCTCTGGGCTGGTGGCCCTGGGTTCTATGTGTAACAAGCCAGTAAGTAGTATTCCCCGTGAACTCTGCATCAACTCCTGCCTCCAGGTTCTCATCCCATCTGAGTTTCTGTTCTCACTGCAACACAGCAACTATAATACTAAGACACCCAGGAACACAGATTCATCTATGTTCCAGCATGGAAGCTGATACACTGGAGTTTAGTAGTTACTAAACCAAGTCATAAATAAGCTTTTACCAAACACACTCTTGGGGACTGCAGGTAGGTGGGTTGCACTGCAGAAGGAAAAACAGTTACAGGTTACACATACTCTGGGATGACTGATACTCTTATCATTTGGATGGTAGATGTTAGTGGTTTGCTAAGAATACGTTTTTAAAGTTGTACTTGATTGTCAAAAGAACGTCAGGCCAGGGGCTGGAGATGGGTGGCCATTCTAGTTTAGGATTACCTTTGCTGTGATGAAACGCCATGACCAAAAGCAACTTGGGGAAGAAAGGGTTTTTTTTTGTTTTTTGTTTTTTTTAACTCCTGCTTCCTTGTAAGAGATCATCATTAAAAGCAGCGAGAACAGGAACTCAAGCAGGGCAGGAAGCTGGAGGCAGGAGCTGATGCAGAGACCATGGAGAAGTTCTGCTTACTGGCTTGCTCCTCATGACTTGCTCAGCCTGCTTTCTTTTTTATTAATATAATTTTTTATTGACTCTTTGGGATTTTCACATCATGCACCCCAATCCCATTAATTTCCCAGTCCTTCCATAGCTGCCCTCCACCCTTGTAACTTCCCCCACAAAAGAAAATAAAAAAGAATAAAAATCACTTATGTAAATCTATAAAATAAAAATATATCACATATTCAGCCGGGCGGTGGTGGCGCACGCCCTTAATCCCAGTACTCGGAAGGCAGAGGCAGGCAGATCTCTGTGAACTCAAGGCCAGCCTGGGCTACCAAGTGAGTTCCAGGAAAGGCGCAAAGCTACACAAAGAAACCCTGTCTCGAAAAACCAAAAAAAAAAAAGTCAATATGCATTCATCGTAGTGACACGGGAGGCTGTGGTGTGTCACATACTGTACACCCTTTTGCCCAAACAGCTTTACTTGCTAATGTTCACTGCAATGAGTCGTTAGTATAGTTTCTGGCTTCTGCTACACCAGTACTGGACCCTCCTAGAGTCTCTTGGATATCCTGCTGTTACCCCAGTCATGGAGGTCCTGCAGGACTGGCCCCCTTTACACACTCCAGCAGCTCATAGGTGGAGTAGGTATTGGGATGGGCCAACTCAAAAGTCCTAGATCTGGGCCTGGGTGGTAGCTGAGTTGGTCAGCCCACCAGCTCTCCTGTGACACCCCAGCAAGGGAGTGGGGACCAGCTTTCCCATGCCCACATCACCACTGGCACCACTGTGGTTGGCCAGTTAGGGATGGAGCCAGTTCAGCGTGGTCCTTAAACATCAACTTGGTTTCAGGCTGCAGTACAGACCATGGACATCTGCAGAGCCCACAGGCCACTGACATCAACATAGACCCTAGCTGCAGTAGGACCATTGTTGTTGGTTGTTTTCTTTTACTCTTTCGGTTCTTTGATGGTCTTTTGTTCTTGGGGGGCCGCCAACCAGCTCCTGCATAAATCACACACAGATGCTTATTTTTAATTATCAATGCTCAGTCTTAGCTTGGCTTGTTTCTTGCCAGCTTTTCTTAACTTTAAATTATTCCATCTACCTTTTGCCTCTGGGCTTTTTCCTTTTACTTCTATATATCTTACTTACACACTTACTCCATGGCTGGTTATGTGGCTGGGTGGCTGGCCCCTGGAAGCCTCCTCTCCTTGTTCTCTTGCTCTTTCTCCTTCCAGATTTCTCCTTCTGTTTATTCTCCCCGCCTGCCAGCCCCACCTGTCCTTTCTCCTGCCTCGCTATTTGGCCATTCAGCTCTTTATTAGACCATCAAGTGTTTTATACAGGCAAAGTAACACAGCTTCACAGAGTTAAGCAAATGCAACATAAAAGAATGCAATACACCTTTGCATCATTAAATATTCCACAGCGTAAACGAATGTAACACATCTTAAAATAATATTCTACAGCAGACCATGGACCCAGACATGGCCCTCATCTGCAGCACAGCCCAGACACCACTGTGGCCTCTGGTGGCAGCAGGCTGTTCCTCACCACCATCATGTCACCTCTCTCCGTGGCACACAGAGTGCTCGGATTCTCTGATTCTTTCACCACAGATTGCTCCCTTCCAGCCAGCTCGGCATCCCAGTGTCTTGGCGCTTCCAGCTGTGCCTTCCCCAGCCTGCTTTCTCATAGGACCCAGGACCACAAGACCACGGGTGGCACCACCCACAATGATATGGGCCCACCCACATCAGTCACTAACTAAGACAACGCCCTATAGGTTTACCTGCAGACAGATTTTATGGGGGCATTCTCTCGTTCCAGGTTCCCTCTCCTCAGATAACAACAGCTTGTGTCAAGTAAAACTTGCCAGCACAATGACTCAGTGGCTGGGAGCACTGGCTGCTCTGGGAGAGGACCCAGGTTCAGTTCCCAGCACCCGCTACATATCCCAGCACTGCCTGTGACTCAAGTTGTAGGGGATCCCACACACTTTCGATCTCTGCAGGCACCAAGTACGCATGTGGTGCACGTACACCCATGCAGTCAAGCATTCCCAAACATAAAATAAATCTTAAAGATATTAGGTCAGATGGTTGAGCAAGGAATGACTATTAAGTGGGCTAAGTATAGCTCAAGATAATTTGGCTCTGGATCCACAACCTTCTAACTCTCCAAAATCACAAAGTTCTAGTCCATCATTTAATCTTTTAGAGTCTTTAACACAGGTGTGGCTTTCCTCTCTTCTGGTAACTTCAGTTTATACCATATAAGTTTCTAAAGTTTATTTTCAGTTCCTGTACTGCCTTAAAAAGAAATCAGATGTCTGTCTGTCTGCATGCCACAGCTCATTATTTTTTTTTTTCTTTTCAGTGAAAATACATGACTTAAAGAATTGCCAGGGCTATGAGATGCCTGAGGGTAATGGCACTTTCCACCAAACTTGATGAATTTCGTTCTACCCCAAAAATAAACAAACATTTTGGGGGGTATGTGTGTGGTGCCATAGTGTGCTGGTGTTAGCCAAAGGACGACTGTCAGCCAGTATTCTACCCGTGAGCCATTCCACTCTGTGTGTGTGTGTGTGTGTGTGTGTGTGTGTGTGTGTGTGTTGTGTGTGCCTATGTTTCTGGGGGGGAGGGGGAAATAAGGGTGGGAGGGGGACGGAGAGAGAGGTAGATTGTTTTGAAAATTTTCCAATGTAGTCTAATAGAAGTTGGTACAAGACACAGAAATGGCTCAACGATGAAGTAATTGTGGTGAAAAGCAAATACTTTAGAAAGGAACTGTGTGATCTGTTTTCTTTTTTAAGGCATTTGCCATAAGGATAAATATGGAGGAACATTTAGGGAGAGAACAGAAGCAAAGTTGAAGAGGTAATATTTGCTGGGTGTGTTGAGAAATACAGTGGACATCTGTCATGTTGCCTCCCCAGAATCCCATCTTCCCTCTCCAGTTTTCCCTTAGAGACACCCAATATCTCTATTTTTAGTGAATGTGGTTTGGGAGAAGCTGACATCTTCCCCAGTTCCTAGCTATACCCCCACCTCCGACCTTCATCTCCCCACAGTGACTGATTCAGAATGTGTGCCGGCCCCAGGACTTTTTCTGGAACCATGAGAGGAAAGGAGAGAAGTTCTTATTCTGGACTGCAGAGAAGAGGGTGAGCTCAGAGCTACTGAGTGTGTGTGCTACTGGAATTTGAACCCAGAGCCTTGAAGTGCTAGACGCACTCTGTCGACTCCTAAGCAACTTTCTTCGCTCTGTTCTATTGACTCTGGAGAAGAACCAGCTTAAGATGGAGCCAGCCAAGAGCAGAGAGCAGGAGCAGAAACAGATACCAGTGAATTAATTTATGTCTCTAAGTGTAGAAGCTCCCTATCTTCCACCCCTAGGTTATCCAGACATTTTGTTATTGTAACATTTAATTTAATTGTAACATTTTAACAGAAAGACTGACACAAAGTATTAATGTTTGCCATAACATAGTGTGTTATGCTTGGGATTAGCGTGACTGTGGAGGTAGGTAGGGGCTAGAATGTGAAGGCTTAAGGAATAGATCTTTATTGCATAGCTATGAAAGGGTTAAAGCAACAGTATCCCCAACAAACCCATCGGAACCAGAAACTCACTGCTAGGAACATTTAGTTCCTCATACCTTGATGTTCACTTTTGCTATTCTGGTTCCCTCTGATAATTACAGAACTTTTACAATTGGGAAAGGAGAGCTAGGGATATGACTGTGACTAGAGCAGTGTCCTCCAGGGTGTTGTGCATTATCCCAACAATCACTGAAACAAGTTTGACAAATGAGTTATTTATAAAGGCCAAGCGTGTAAGGGGAGAATCCCAAAAACTCTTTCTAGAGACTAGAGTTTAGGGTTGTTTATGGAATAACCCAGTAGAGAGACTTAAAGTGCATGCTCAGAGATGGTTAGCATGGTATGGATGTGGAATTTGGGCCTCTCTGACATTAAAAGGGCACAGAACAGAAACTGCAGGATCAAATAAGAGTCAGATCACTTCAACAAAAGCACCCTTTAAGCTCCTGGAAGGTAATCTGGCAGCCATTGGCATCTCCACCCACATGCCAGAGGTGCTGTCTGTCTGTCCACAGCAAAACCTGTGGGAGACTCATAATACATACCTCAGCTATGACCTCTAGAGCTCGTCATTTCAAAATCCAATTAGAAACAGCTAAGGGGGCGGGGGGTTGAAAGGTTGCTTAGGATAAGTAAGAGTAGGTCATCTGTGTATGTTTATCAAAGTTAGGAAACTGGTTTCTCTGTGTAGCCCTGGCTATCCTGGAACTCACTCTGTAGACCAGGCTGGCCTCCAACTCTGAAATCCACCTACCTCTGCCTCTCAAGTGGTGGGATTAAGGACATGTTCCACCACCACAGGGTTTAAGACAGGGCCTTGATGGTAACATTCTTGGGGATGTTTCTGGTTTCTTGGAGAGATGTTTCTAAGGTGCAAAAGATACACACTAACAACTGTGACTATTTTTGATTGTTTGTTTGTTTTGGTCAGGGTTATGCTGGCCTCAAATTTATATCTCCTGCTTCAGGCTCTTAAGTGCTGGGATTACAGTCATATGCCATTGCATCAGCTATAAAGACCTTTTGATAAGTACCCAGCAGATGGTTGTGTCTCAAGGAGCAAAAATTAGGTATTAGTAGCATCTCTGTTAATTTTCTATTGTTGCAATAAGACGCCATGGCCAAGGTAATTTATTATGGTGTTTATTTGGGGCTTACAGTTTTGGTATTAGAGTCCATGACCTTCATGGTGGGGAGCATGGCAGCAAGCAGGCAGGCATGACACTGGAGTAGTAGCTGACAGCTCATATCCTGAGACACAACCATAAGGCAGAGAGATCTAACAGGAAATGGTAAGGGCTTTTGAAATCTCAAAGTGACCCCCCAGTGACACACCTCCTTCAACAAAGTCGCACTTCCTAATCCTTCCCATTAGGGAACCACATATTCAAACACATGAGCCTATAAGGTCATTCTCATTCAGACCACCACATGTGGTAAGGAGGCTTAGAAATGGACCTGGAAAACAACAAAAGGGTTTGGCAATTTTCAGAGAAATGCCATTTTCCTTTTAGGAATTGAGTTGTTTGATTTTGACCCCAGTCAGTAGGGTTTCCAACCCGGGCTGACTGGTGGTGCTTTGGGAATGTAATCTAGCCTCTCTACCCAGATGGAGACCTGTGCTCTTGCCTTGAAGCCTACAAGGACTATCTTTCCTAAAAACTTCCAAAGCCAGTATTTGTGAAAGCTCATTTAATTTGGTTATCTTGCTTTACAAATTATACCTCTAAACAACCAATCTATGTTAGAAACATGCTTAACTGCTGTCAGTATATGGCGACCTGGAGATCTGTCCATCGGCAAAAGGGGTTGACTTGGCTTTGGTCTTGATAATTCAGTCCATGTTACATGTAAATTATTTATTACAGAGTTGACATGACTGATGCTTTCATCTTTCCTCTGTTGTATGTTTTATGGAATGAGAATGCAGAGCTTTTTAAAAAGATTCTGTTAATAGGGTTAATTTTAGAAAAAACATTCTGGTTATTCAGTGTAAACTTTGTAAAATGAACCATTTTCTCTTGACTTCAGTGGCCGGCACTAACTCCTGCAGTGACTTAGGATGTTTCTAAAATGTTGTTTTTCCTGATTCCCAGTCCCCGCCCTTCTTTCTGTGACAGCAAAGGTTCTACAACAATGCAGCTTCGGAAGGGCTGTGACATCACAATGAACAATACCTCATTTTGTAACTAAAGGAAAAGTGTTGGCCCTTGGCGCCACCCTGTGTCCTGACCTAAAGGTCTCTTTTTTTTTTTGGTTTTTCGAGACAGGGTTTCTCTGTAGCTTTGCGCCTTTCCTGGAACTCGCTTTGGAGACCAGGCTGGCCTCGAACTCACAGAGATCCGCCTGGCTCTGCCTCCCGAGTGCTGGGATTAAAGGCGTGTGCCACCACCGCCCGGCAAAGGTCTCTTTTTAAGAAAAAACTCTGCCCATTTCTGTCCTCTTCCACTTCACTCCCACGAGGTGTGCACCCCTTGACCCCTCCCTCCCTTCCCCCCCTTTCTGTCTCTCTGCCTCTTTATCTCTCTATTATAATAAACCATTTCCACAAGGATGCAGCCTGAGTTGCGAATGTCCACCCCATGTGGGGCCACCATGCCCGCATGGAGTGGGTCGCCTTGCAGCTACATCTGCACAGCATGGTTCCCTGCATGCGCAGGATACCCTCGGGGGTCCCCCCCCATAATAATAATAAAATAATAATAATAATAATAATAATAATAATAATAATAATAATAATTCGTAACAAAAAGTCCTCCTGAAAGGTCTTTTTGGAGGGTACTTTGGAAGGAATTTTAGTTGGACTTAAGTTGCATACATTGTGGCATTGACCTCACTGGAAACAAGTTTTGGGTTGCTGATGGTTGTGTTATTTCTGTATAGTGCCACGCACTTACCACAGGAGCAGACGTTGCTCATCTGCCTCACCTCCAAACCATCCCAAAAAAGATTTTTTTCACCAATCAATAAACAATTTAGAGGTATTTACATTCCTAAGCTTTTCAGCTACTTTACAACAGAGTACAGTGGAGTGTGTACAGAATTGCTTTTATAGTTTACAGTGTTTTCATGTGTATCACTGGATTTTCAAAAGTTACTAGTTCAGTGGTCCCCAGGGATCAGTGAAGTGCTGACTGTATTACTATTTTGTATTATATAAGGACAGTCTACACCTAATTTCTAGAATTTCAGTTGGGCAGTAGTGGTGTATTGGCTTTAATCTCAGCACTTGGGATGCAGAGGCAGGATGGATCTGGGAGTTCAAGGCCAGGCTGGTTTGCTGAGCGAGTTCCAGGACAGCCAGGGCAACACAGAAAAAAATCTGTCTCGAGGGAAAACAAAAAACAAAAAACCCAACCAACCAAACAACAAAATAATATAAAATTAGATAAACAATCATAGGCACTGCATTGAGTCGTTTATAATGTCAATTTTACTATGGGTAGTCAGTCCGGCTCAGCTTTAAACTTAAAATCTAGATACCTAGACATCAGCCTGTTACATTGGTGAAGAGTGCGATTTCCTATTGTGTTGTATGGGCTCTTCGGAGGATCGGTCCAATATGGACTATCCCTTGGGCCTCAGTGAGTTCACGGAAGAGGAAACTGGTCCGCCCTCCATTAAAGCCTTCCGGAACCTTTTAAATGCCAAGGCCATGACATCACACGCTCTCTATCTTCTTGATAGGAAAACTAGTAAATGTTCTGGGGCAAGTGAATTTTGTAAAGAGATACTAACTAGGCAGTTCCAAGTTTTACGGGGCTGTGGTAACACCTCTGTCACCACCACCCCAATAGGACCCTGGAGAGGAGATCGAGACCCCGGAGAGCCGCGCTCTGCGGGAGGGAACCAGGGGAGGCTGTCTCCCCTGCACCCAACTCGCTGACCACAGGGTACCACAGCGCGGCAGACAAGCAGCGCCAGCGTCCCCAGCCTCGGCCACGACAAGCCGCGGGCCTTTCCGCCAGAGAGCATGCGCCGGGCGGGCCCCTGTCGCGACGTCAGACCGGAAGGAGGGCCCACTTCTCCATTTCTGGGAAAGCCAGATGGCCGCCGGGCGGGGTAGGGGAGGAGGGGCGGGGCGGGCCGGAAGAGCGGTGCACGAGCCGGAAGTCGTCACCTAGGCCCGCCCCAGCCCGGTCCCTTGGCTGCCTGTTCTGTGGGCGGTCCTAAGTGGTTCGCCGGCTGTCTGTCCTGGCGAGGGTGATGCGGACAGCCCCTCCTTGGCCCCGTGCAGCGCCAGCCTTCTGTGACGCCGACAGCAGAATCCTCAGTCCAGGCTGTGGTTGGGCCTGTGGCCTCAGAGCACTTAAATGAACATCTTTTGGTATAGTGTCTTCCAATTTTAAATGTACCCCTTTTTTTTTTTTTTTTTTTTTTTTTTTTTTTGAGTAAAACTGTAATTCGTCACCTTCCAAGCTGGGAGGTCCTGTTAAAAGGAAACAACTACAAAATAGGTCCATTAGATTTATCTGGAGGCTTTGAGCTGTGTTTATTATGCCTTCCCTCTGTGAGCTGGAGATCCTGTGGAAGCAGTCTATATGAAGGCTGGGATGAGACACCTTAGCCTGTAATTTTAAATGTAATCACCATTTGGATTGTCCTGTCCAACTATTGCACCTTGAAAGGCTGGGCGTGAAAAGCTGATGAAGTTTTAAGGATAGTTAAAAAGTCCAAAAGGCTTTGTCTAATTTTCCAGCTCAATAAGATTGTCTAAGGGATGGGATTCAAGCCGTGGCCTTCATGCCGGCACTCCGGCCGGCTTAAAGCATCTTTAAGTCTGCAGTGTTTGAGTGTGCACCCCTCCTCCTGCGCGTTTGTCTTTCCCCCTTCCTATATTCCCTTTGTGTACCGTGTCCCCCCCCCCCACCGTGCTTCTTTGTTTTTATTTTTTTGGGGGCACAAGGTTAGCTCTTTGACTTCTTTCCTGATGATTGAGCCAGCATTTCTTTTCTTCCTCCTCTCTCTGTCTCTGTCTGTCTCTGTCTCTCCCTCTGTGTCTCTGTCTCTCTCTCATTGTTTTTGAGAGTTTCTCTGCCTCAAACCAGAGATCCACTTGCCCCTACCTTTTGGGATCGAAGGCATGCGCCACCACACCTGGCTGAGCCAGCATTTCTATCCTCCCTTTTAAATCACCACAAACTGAAATTGCAGGGTAAAAACAAACAAACAAACAAACAAAAAACCACTTTCATAAGGGTGTCCAAGGACAAAATTAGAATTTTCAGATAATGTTTTTGTGTGAAATCCCAGAATTGGGCAACACTTCATCCATAAAATGGGTGTTCTGATAGACTGAGGCAGAATAAGTTAGTTTTATGAATAATAGAGGGTCAGAGACCAGTGGAACAACAAAAAGCAACTGGTCATTTCACAGCTACTTTTCTTGTAAGGCAGGAGTAGGATTATAGCAATGGACAAAAACAAGCAGACAAAAACCCAAAACCTAATTAGTTATCGTCAATTTACTTTAGGTTGCTTTTTCATAATGGTTAAGTTAGGGAGAACTTGACTCTCATGTCTGTTGAAACTGGACAGTTAGGAATTTGCTCCTGATTCCTGGGACAGTCAGACCATAACTTAATTTGGGTTCTGAAGTATGGAATATTAAGATGAATGATTCCTTTTTTTTATATTCAGTGTGTTGTAGGCCATTTTTTTTTAAAGATTTATTTATTTATTGTGTATACAGTGTTCTGCCTGCACATATTCCTGCAGGCCAGAAGAGGGCGCCAGATCTCATTACAGATGGTTGTGAGCCACCATGTGGTTGCTGGGAATTGAACTCAGGACCTTTGGAAGAGCAGCCAGTGCTCTTAACCCCTGAGCCATCTCTCCAGCCCGGCCATTTTTTTTAAAAGAAGTATTATTTTCTTGTTTTGAGCAGGGACAAAAGTTCACATGCAGGTAGAGGCTGGCCCCATGCTGGAATGCCGTTTGTAGGTGGACTTTTCTTTCCTGCCCGTCATGGAGACTCAATATTAATGATAAGTGCTCAGCAGATAGCTCAGGCTTATTACTAGCTAAATCTTATAACTTAAATCAACCCATTTCTATTAATCTACATTCTGCCACATGGCATTACCTCTCTTTCATCTTGCACCTCCTGTTTTCTATCCATGTCTCCTGACTCTGCCCTCTTTCTTCCCAGCATTCTTAGTCTGGTTTTCCCACCTAACCTTATCCTGTCCAGCTATTGGCCAGTCAGCTTCTTTATTAAACCAATCACAGTCTAATTTACACAGTGTATAGAAGGATTATTCTAAATTAATAAATGATTCCCAGATCTGGATATTTCTATATGCCCACCTTGAAGTCTGTAAACCACAGAAGCTCTGTTTAAAAAAAAAAAAATCCTGCCTCCTAGGGGTGGCAATTCTCTAACTTCATTCTCTCAGAAGTAAATCACAAAGTGGTGAACCTGCATCCCAGAAAGGTAGAAAAAGAAAGTTTGCTTAGTTCAGAGAGAGTTTTGTGTATTTATGGGACTTGGTTTTCTATACTCTATGTTGTATTTTAAGACAGTGAAGGGGGCAAGAGCATTATTGGGTGTTAATTTTTGTAGCTTTAAAATACAAATACAAGCAATGATTGGATGATATTGACCTTTAAATGTCAACAATACTGCTGACGTGTTTCCTGGTAGAACTATAGAACAGACATGAAATAAAATCTTTATAGTTATAAGTGGTATGGAAAGGGTGAGCATACAATTTATTACCACATTCATTCAAATAGAATTTGAAATGAGAGCTTAAAAGGGCAAAGCCTAGTAGCTGTATCTTTTAGCCCGACAACTAAGGTCGATTCTCCCAGGCCAGGGGTAGAAAGCTGGCCTAACCTGCAAAGCTGGGCTCCACCCCCAGCAATGAAGAAACAAATAGTTACTCTTTCTTACAACTAAGAAGTGAGTGGACGACAGCATTAACAAAGGGTCTGGACTTAAGTTTCATTGCTCTGACACTGTAACAGGAAACATCAAGTAGGATACCATATACGTGAAAGATCATCGTATTTGGGAAACCTTTTATTCTAGTGTGGTGAATTTCCTGAGTTGATTGGAAAATCGTTGAGTTCATTTACAGTGATATTGAGTGATTACAACACTGTTTTGGTGTAGCAAATTAACTACATCAAAATTTTTACTTTTGAAGCTGCCATTTCTATTGTTTCTTGGCCTGTTGGCTAAAATCAAGCATCAAAACAACCTTTTTGTTTTATTCATGGCTTCTGTAGGTCAGGAAATCAGTCAGGATGTCATAGAGATGATTGCACTATTTTTGAGGTTTTGGGTCTTATCCCTCAACATGGACTGTCTACCAATTGGGACTTGTGCCTTATGGGGCTTTTTTTTTTTTTTTTTAAATACAGTGAGCATTCCTCAGGATAGCCAGATGATTTTGTAGTAGTTCAGGACTCTAAACAGGAGGGTTCTATTGAATAAGGTAGACACTGTGCTGCCTTATTGTTCTGCCTTAGCATCATGGCCGAGAACTGTTGGTTGGAGCAGTCATAAGGCTACGCCTGTGCAAGAGGAGTGGCCCCGGCCCCCACATCTCTGAGGAAAGTGTGTCAAAAATATGGGGCTGTACATAAAGCTTGACAAATGACTGTCTTCACCTGCTGAACCACCACATTGGCCCTTCAGACAGTATTTCAAAAACACAAGCTTAATGCTAGGAGATCTACGAGAAAATACCAAATTTCAAATAAGCAGCGTATTATTTTCCTATGGATGTTGTAATGAACACCCAAAATCTATTGTCTAAAAGAGATTTAGTCATTTATTCTAGAAAACAGAGTTCCTCAGAAAGAAACGTTGTGTCTCTGTTTTTCATAGTTGCTGATGGCCTTGTTGGTGTACAGTTAAGTTGCCTCCCATCTCTGCCTCTGTTCTTATAAGACCTTCCTGGGTATCTCTGTGCTATCTCCTCCCATAAGGATACCAGGCATTGGATTTAGAGCCTGTTATTGTCAGCAGCAATAAGTTTGCTGCCTTAATTTTAAATGTCCTTTTTTGTCCTGTCCCAGTTAAGTTGTTTGTGTGAAAAATATGCAGTTGGGTTCCGGAGGGTGCTGGAGATCAGTTCTCCTGTGGTTTTTCCTGTTTGGAAAGCAGTGTCTGGCTTGCCTCTGGATACAGAGTAGCCGTTCCTTGACCCCTGCTGTTGGAGGGGTATATAAGCCCATGTTGGTATGAATAAAGAGAGCTGCTTCCCTGACGAACTGAGACTGAGCGTCTTGAGTGCTGTTTGACCTCGGCGTCCCTCGCCTGATTTCGTGCTCCAGCTGCGTGGGTCGCGGCATGTTATAATCCAGAAGGATTTCTTTTTTAACTTAATTTTATCTGCAAAGAACCACCTTTCAAACAAGGTCACACTTTGGTGCTCTGGGTGGATGTGAATTTGGGGGAGACTGTATTCAACACTGTAGATGGGATTGGTATTACAGATTTCTTCCTTTGCCTTGTGGCTCAGCACAGAACTCCCACCTCACCAGTCTCAAAGTTTCACCCTTGAATCAGATATAAATAGAGATATTAAATATGTTTTGTATTAAAGTACAAGTGCAAGATCACTGTTTAGCAGGAAGCTGGCCACCCACAGGGGAGCTGTTGCCCATCAGCTCTGGGGCCTCACACTGAAGCCTTCTCTCTGCATTCTTTCCAACAAGGGTGACCCCTCTCCCATTTCGGCTTCCACGTCTGTGGAATGACTCCTAAGAAATCTCTCCACTTCACTTCTCTTCTGAGTTTGAGACTTCTTTTCCCATTGGTTACTGGACATTTTGAAACACTGAACTGTAGGCATCATAGAGTCTCAGATTACTTCATTAAAAGCATAAAGCTTTTCGGGTTTCTTGTTCCCTTGCCCTGACTCTTTTTTTGATGTGCTCATCCACACTGACTCCCAGAACAGTATCCAGAGAGTTGTCTCACTCCTGCTCTCTACCTCACATAGCATCTCACCCTAGAGACCATTCTGGGTCACTGTCCACTGCCTTGCTTCTCAGGCTTTCATCACCACAAGCCTGTGTTTAGAGCTATTTCTAGGGAATATTATGTTTATTGTGTCTGCTTGGGAAATAAGAATGGCAACTGGGTCACAGGTTAGACACCAAGTATATTTTGGACCAAAAAGTACAGTGAGTTACAGATAACTTTGGAATTGTCAGCATGACTTGGACATTGTGTTTTGATGCTTTAGTATTGTCAAACTTGGTCACACATGCAGGTTCTTTCTATGCTCTTATCTGTAAATGTCACTTTGCTTTCCTGGCATACTGGAAACTCTGCTCCCCAGAGAATACTCTTCCCCTGCAGCCCTCTCTAGTGCAGCTGGGATCCACCTCTGCCCTTCAGCCTTCTTCTCCTGGTGGCTTCCAGACTATTTCTCTACCTCTTCCCTATTTCCAACTCATGTTTCCAGATTACATGACACTCTACCCATCCATAATTCAATTATTTATGTAGCCCATGTTCTCTCACTGTGTGTGTGTGTGTGTGTGTGTGTGTGTGTGTGTGCGCGCGCGCGCGCGCGCGCGCGTGCATGCATGTGGATTGGGGGCTGTTTTTCATTGGCCTGGTTGCCAGTATGTTGTCCAGTGAGACTTCTCAGTAAGTCATTGTTGTGGAATAATCTTTTTGTACACTGTGAAGATGTGTCTTTGCCAAGGTGCCTTCTGATTGGTTTAATAAAGAGCTGAATGGCCAGTAGGTTCCCAGCCTGAACCCACTCAGTATACCATAACAGCAGAAAAAACACAGTGAGGCTGACTAGGCTTACACTAAAGGATCCCAGCCTCAAATGGACTCCAATTTTGTAGCCACACATTTTTCTGTCAGAGTCACCCCACTCTGCACACCTTCCAAACACACACATACCATGTACCTTCTGAATGGTGGTTGGATTCTCAGATACCTAGCTGCACATTTCTTAGGAACACTTATCCCACACTCCACACCTTCCAAACACACATGCTATGTGCTTTCTGGGATGTACCCTCTGGGTTGTGGTCAGTTTCTCAGATACCTAGCTTTCATACTTCCCGGCCTGCAGATGTCTATTGCCTCTCCCTTCCTCATCCTGCCAATTTTCCTAAGAAAATGAAAGGAGTGAGAATATAACTTTCGTGGCTGTTACCACCAATGTCCACACCTTTCTGCACCTGGAACTACATACTCTCCCTCCCCACTGCTCTTATGGGTAAATTATTCGTGACTTTAGCTAAGGACCACCTTTGCCATGTTGATGAGCCTTTCTCCTTCCATTTACTCAAGGTCAATGGAGTAGCAAGTGTTCCTGTTGGGATAATCTTTTTGTATACTGTGTGAAGATGTCTCTATTTTACCTCACCTGCCTAAAGCACCTTCGGATTGGTTTAATAAAGAGCTAAATGGTCAATAACTGGGCAGGAGAGAATAGGTGGGACTTCCAGGCGAAAGTAGGAACTCTGAAAAAGAATCTGAGGAGAGGGATTCACCAGCCAGACATAGAGGAAGTCAGGCATATGGTACTGAGGAGAGGTAATAAGTCACATGGCAGAATATAAATTAATAGAAACAGGTTAATTTAAGTTTTAAGAGCTAGCTGGGAAAGAGCCTAAACTAAGGCCAAGCTTTCATAATTAATAAATCTCTGTGTCATTATTCAGGAGCTGGCAGTCCAAAGAAAGTCCAACTATACCCGCCTCCTATATAAATGATTAATATCAACCGATAATATATTAATCTATGCCAATAAATGAATGCAAATTAATGCAGTTGTCACCCAGTGGGTTATTCCTGTCAGCACACATGGTAATTGCATCTCCTCCGGCTATTGTCCATTTTCTCTCCTTCACAGCCCAACGTTTTTCTGTCTTCCCAGTTGCTCTTTCCATCTTGTCAGACTCACTCAAGCCAGGCTTCACCTTTTCAGGGCCCTCAGACCTGCTCCTGACAAGGCCAACCCATGGACGTCATCTTTCCCTGTCCATAAGCAGCTGTGATCCAGTGACCTCCTAATCAGCTTACCTGCTTTTCATTTGTGTCTCTCACACTCTGTTCTAAATACAAACACCAAAGCAATCCTTTAATACCTGGTTCAGTTCATTGTAGACAGATTTTTCTTTGGGCTGCCAGCTCACAAAAAATGACACAGAGACTTATTAATTATGAAAGCTTTGCCTTAGCTTAGGCTTGTTTCTAATTAGCTCTTATAACTTAAATCAACCCATTTCTATTAACCTATGTGCTGTCCTGTGGTTCGTGGCTTTTACCTCTCCTCCTACATGTCTTGCTTCTTCTGCATCTTGCTGTGGACTCTGCCTTTCTTCTTCCCCAAGACCTCTCTGTCCCCAGAAGTCCTGCCTAACATCTTCCTGCATAGATATTGGCCACTTAGCTCTTTATTAAACCAATCACAGTGACACATTGTCACACAGTGTAAAGGAATATTCTGCAACATTTCCCCCTTTTTGTGTAAATAAAAAGGAAAGGTTTTTTTTTTTTAACTCTAACATAGTAAAACTATAAACAAAAAGAACAATTATCAGGTGAGAATTATATTCACAATGCCCAGGCCATTTGTATTTGGCAAATTCAAAGAAAATACTCCATTATCTATCCTCTCTTGATGAGTCCAAAGTTTTGTACCTAATTTACTTTCTATCATGACTAAGGGAAACTGTAACTGTAACTATCTAATCTTCAACCCCATCAAAGACCTGAGAAGGATATAACATTACCTGTGTGAACAGAAAGTGCAGAGCAAGTGACTTCAAAAACTAAAAATGAACAGAGACATCCGGCAGCCTGGACAGTCACTCCAAGGTTCCTCTGTAATGTTGGGGCATCCATCTTCAGCCTATAGGACCAGAATATCTGACAGACTTTTCTGTAAAGCAGGAATTTTTGAAGGACTGTTCTATGGATAGGTATAAGATATTATGGTAGATTATTGTATAGACTAGTAAACAAATTTAGTAGGTAGCAACCTTAGATAATTTGCACTGTTATGGATTCTTGTATATTGATTCCTGTTTAAGATAATTTGTATATTGATACAAATACAGAACTATATTTGTTGTAACGTACATATATTTCTACTCTTATTTGAAATGCTTTGTATATTGATACAAATGTAAATTTATATCTGTCATACTGTATGTATGTATCCTCTGTTTAGGATATTTTATATATTGATATATATTTAGGATTATTGTCATATTGCACTATACATTCCTTCCTCTGTTGTGTATTGTCACAATCTTGAAGTCATTGTCCTTTTACCATGTATTTGCTTACAGACTGTTTACCTTGTTTACATGAAGCCTTAGTCCTTAGGTTATTTAGGCAGAAAAGACTTATAGATTTATAGTCACCTATGCTTGTCATCTCTATTGTTATGTTAATTAGGTTATCCAGATTTACAGATACATAGGTTGGATGGACAGGTAATCTTCAAACACTTCATGGACCTAGAGAATATGGCATTTAAATAACTTAGAATTCTGTTGACGTGAGACACAATTGCTCCAGGCAGCACCAATTTGATCCCGAGAGAATGTTGGGCTTCTAAGACATTTCCATTTGGAAGTTTGTCTTCTTCTTGGCACAAAATGGCCTACTGGGCAAAGAGCTGCCCTTGCCTCAACTGCTGACAGTACAAATGCTGTCCTTTCTGGACAAGTGGGACACAAGGAAAAGCGACTACTGAACTCTGCCAAGACAGGATAAGATGGTCTTTCAGAATTCCTGCTTCTGAAAATGGTCTGTCAGATACTCTAGGCCTGTAGCCAATTTGAATGCACCAATGATGCTGAGAAACATTAGGTGACTGTCCAGGCTGCCAACTGTCTCTGTCTACTCTTGAAAGATTCCTGAAAGTTGCTTGCATCCTTCTCCCATTTCTCAGGTATTATTATATTCCTTCTCAGGTCTTCGATGGGATTGAGGACTTAACAGTTACAGTTACAATCTTCTATCTTAGCTAAAACATATTAAGTATTAGATTCAGGTTCTTCAGGATAAGGTGCCTTTTGGAATGATCTCTGTAACGTTCCGTTTACCCATATTCCAGACTTCTCTGGATTTTAGTATGTGTCTCTTGTTTGATATTGTTCGTATTGGTTGTAGTTTCATCTTGTCTAGGTCATTATCCCTTATTCCTCCTGGACAATATTTGATAATCATTCCTATTGTATATAGTTTTGTATTAGGTTAGAACTTTCTTATTTAGACAAAAGAGGGAGATGTAGTGGGTAGCTGTTCCAGCTTTGTCCTGGAAGTACTACCTCCATTGAGGCTTCTGGTCGAAGCGAGGCTGAGTCAGGAGATGCTGCCAGCCACTGCCGCTGCCTTGAGAAGTAAGATGTAAAGTATTGGTAAGCCACAAGCCATGTGGCAAGTTATAGATTAATAGAAATGGGTTAATTTAAGATGTAAGATTTAGCTAGCAAAAAGCCTGCCATGGCTATACAGTTTATAAGTAATATAAATCTCTGTGTATTTACTTGGGTCTGAGCAGGACTGGAGAAAACTCCAGCTACAGTCCTACCCTGTCTTGTTGAAGCTTGGCAGTCTCTTTCTTTTGTGTCTTTTTGTCCAGTTTGGACAACATACTGTCAGCAGTCAAGGCAAGGACAGTTTCTTGCCCAAATACTAGCTTTTGCCACAGAGAAAGTAAACTCCATATGGAGGTTCTTCAATGCCCATCATCCTTTTTTGAAGTAGATTTCTGCTGCCAGGAGCAAAGGTGTTTCACTGTCATGAAAAGCCTTATGTTATTATAACATTTTAAATGCCATATTCTATAGGTCTTTAAAGTGTTTGAAGATCATCTGTCTATCTAAAATATATCTCTGTATGACCTTGAAAACATATCTAACATAACTATGTTTGATTATTATAGATGACTAACTATTAACCTGTATTTCTTTATTATCCTAAATAGCTTTCAAGGACTAAAACTTAACATAGCATTTTTAAATGAACTGCATAGGTACAATGCCTTAAACAAGAATAAAAACGTATGTACAGTATAATAAAAATAACCTTAAATTTGTATCAATATACAAAAATCCATACCAATGTAAAATATTTGAGACTAGTGGTTGTTCAAAAGTAGACTCAGAAATACACCCTTTTATCCCATAATTTCTATAATACATTCCCCCTCCCCCTTTTTCTTTTTAGAATGAGATCCCTAAATCTAATCTTCTTTGTTCAGTTTTTTTTTTCCTGAGCATTATCAATTAAAGCTTGTAACCAACCTCCTAAAAAATAAACATGCATAACCCACTGAATGACCAAAACCCACCCATCTCACCTCTTGGGAATGTGAGCATCGTGTTCTCCAGACTGCTTTCTATTGTCTGGGGCGATGGCACCTTTAGGGACCCTGAGGAAATGGAGATAATGGTCAAGTCCTGGGAAAACTAGCCATAACATTTGTTGTCCAGACCCTGTGTAATGAGAAAGCACAAGGCTTATCTGCAGTCCTGGCTAGAATAGTCTGTGAGGCTGGACCATCTCAGCCAGCAGCCTTGAAGCTGTTCTGGATGTAAAACTCCGAGGAAACTGCAACAGAGGCACTCTGAGAGGCTGGATCACCTAGGCCACCATTTTCACTGGTGTCTGGTTCCCTTGCTCTGAAAACACACACATTTTCAAAGGTAACACACATATCTGCGTTAACACAACTATGGACTGTGTGTTGTACACAAGCCAGCCAAAGATGATTTTTGTTTGTTTTATGTTTGATCAGGCAAAATATGTGTCACCTGTCTTGTAGTTTTTCTAGGTTTATTTTTTTATGTCTGTAGCCAGGACTTTCAGGGGGTCTGATCTCTATCAACCTTGAATGAATCCACAGCCTTTTGTTTTCTGTGGAAACAAAAGCATAACCTCTTCCCCCAATGCAATACATTTTCTGGCTTTCATTTTAAAGTTAAGGCATTCCAAAAGTGTCTAGGCTGGTGTAATGCAGTAGTCCCTCTTACAAGCCTATGTCTCTCAGCAGCTGTCGTTCACTCACCAGCAATTCAGACTCCCTGTATCTTTTCCATTTTTATATGGCTTATCTTTTTTATATTATTTTATTCGCTTTAAAGATTTTATTTTTATTATTTATAAGCACACACACACACAATTTTGAAATTCTGAATTAAAAAATAAAACAATACCTTATAATTGCTACACACATACAACCCAGTGGTCTCTAAGACATTCACCTTGAAGTCTTCTGGGAAGTGTTTCCTCAGAGTCAGCACACAGAAAGCTGTGTTCCAGAAATGGCCAAGGTTGTACCTCATGCGGCAGCTGAACTTGGTAGTATGAGTCACCCAGATGGTACTGGTTTTGAAGGCATGAAGGGGTCATGGAGAGCAGCTGAAGCTTGGCACTATGTGGCAGTGCTGGAGTCCCCAAAGATGAAAGTACACCCGAGTTTCAGCAGAAGAGTCTAGCATTTTGGAGATGCCAGTACCATAGGATAGCCACCAAGAACAGCAGCAGTTGTGGAGTGGAGCCAGCTGGAGCCTAGATGACAAGCTGTGTGTGCTGCAGAGGGCAGGCAGAGCTGGAGAAGTGAGCCAGGCCTCTTGGAGGAGCCCAGGAGATTGGGAGTGGATCCCAGACACTGGATGCCGAGTTATTTACACTGTTGGAGTTTGGTTTTGCTTGTTCAAATAGTTACTTTGCCCTATTTCTTCCCCGGTTGAAATATGAAAGTACTTATTTTTTATGTTCCAGGAGCCCACAGTTGAAAGACTTTACATTTTTTAAAAAAGGAAATTTTGGAGTTTTACAGAGAATTTGTATTTTAAAAGAAACTGGATTTTTTTAAAAAGACTGAATTTTTAAAGTGTTTAGATTTGTAAGGCTGTGGGACTTTATAAGTTAGTAAAATGTTTTATACTGTGATGTTTATATTAATGTGTGATCTTGGGGATGAACAAGAAAAGAAAGGTTGTGACTTTACAGTGATTTGTTTATGTGTTGGGTTGACAAGAGGTCAATTGTGCTGGATAGTTTTATGTCCTAAGATACCAGGTGTGGCGACAATACCTGTTATCCCAGCATTCTGGAGGTTAAAGTAGAAGGCTAGGAAGGGGACTTGAGGCCTTATCTTAGGGTTAACAGGAATTCAGTAAAAAGTTTTTAGATGGAAAAAAAGAAAGTCTCTTCTGAAGGTTTTGGGATGTGTTATGAACAAGTTCTGTAGTTAGATGGGCAGTTAAGATCCACATTTCTGCGATGGTTCTACCACTGATTAACACTGTGGCGGCAGGTGGTAGGGAGCCTCCTGCGCTTTCTGGGAAGTGTTGGTGACACCATGGCCTTCTTATCCTTGCTCTGATGCCATGCACAGCAGTCGTCTGCCATCATAACCTATACAATGACCCAGAGGAAGACAGTTGATCTCAACACACATGGGCTTGTCTGGGATGATGGCAGAAACACCAGATCTCAAAAACTCAGAGCTGTCTCCTAGTATCTTACCAGGGCGCCTACTGATCTTTGTCTTCGGCCCAGCAAACCCACAAGCAGTGTGAGCTGTAAATCCACCTAGTGTGTGGGCAGTGATAGCACTGAAATGGCCTGGATGAATCAATCGAACAGTGAAAATAGCTGTCTCCATCGACCGGTCACTTTTACTGATACTAAGACAGGAGAGAAGCTGGGCGAAATTGTGGAGACATGAAAAGGAGCCCCTCATCCCAGAGTCTGCTTGAAGCTTCTCACTAGCTGAGAATCAAGAATTGCAGCAAAATTAACAACGTTTGCTCAAGGCCTTTCCCCTTTCCCAGCTCTAAGTGTACAACTTTCTTGGGACCTCATCAGATCATTTACATTAAAAGATGTCCTAAACTTTGTACAAAACCCCAGTGACTCCTGATACTCCCTTATCAAATAATAATCCTATTTAAGTCACTACCAGAGCTACCCTATAATATCATTTATCCAAAAAAAAGAAAAAAGAAAAAGGAAGTTTCTTGGCAATACTTTGAAAGCTACTGAAATGATAGTGAGGCTCATGGCAAGACACTTAGCTGTGACTGCCCCTTGATAACCATACCTGCACTTGGATGAATATCTTAGTCTTTCCCCGAGCTTTTCTTTTTCCAACACCTGGGAGGCAGAGGCAGGCAGATCTCTGTGAATTGAGGCCAACCGTGTGTGCATAGTGAGTTTCAGGCCAGCACACTGAAAACCTGTTTCAAAAAGATGGGCTGGAAAGATTCCTCAGTGGATAAAGTCTGATGGCCTGAATTTGATACCTGGGGCCCACATGTTAGAAGGAGAGACCTTCACATGCATACCATGGTTGGTATGTGCTCACCCATATGAGCAAAGTAATAAATAAAAATATTATAAAAAATTTTTAAAGTCTTTTAGTAAATCATAACTCATCCTTGAGAAGGCCACATATATACTTCATTCTTTTCTGCAATGACTTTCTATTTTTAATAACCCCCAGCCCTGCTTCATACTGGCTTGTCCTGAAATTATCTTTTCTTCTGAAACCAAGGATCTGATTTTACTTGAATTGAGGTTTCTAAACGATTAAGGGAATTCCTCAGGCTTCTGTGGGTGATAGTGTGGATCTCTGCCTCCATTCCTGCTGCTGACAGTACCAGTAACATTGCCATGATGAATGTCTTTGATAGATGTGTTCTTGACATTGCAGCACATTTGTCCTCAAGAAAACCTTCACCCAAAGCTCTATGGTGCATTTCAACAGACTTCACTTGTGACATTACTTGGAGCAAAGTAGCAAACCTATGGTGGGGTTGAGAGTGCCAGTCTCCACGTGGTCTATAGCGACTGTATGAATACCATCAATTTGTAAACAGTGTGGAGGACCAGATTCAAAGGCTTAGCAGTTGGGTGAGTTGACAGCAGAATGTAATCCAAAGCTTTGTGCAATGGGAGTCTACTAGCATTGCCATCCTATGGGTAACTTTCCAGCTCTTGAGTCAAGGCATATTGGCACTTGGCTTCAGCATGTTGTCACCATTCCAAGAAGAAATTGACACAAAAGCTACTGTGTCAAGATTATAGCCAGCTTCCTTATGTAGGCCCCGACTTCCTGAATGATTTCCTCATCTGTCTTCTGAGTGAAAGGTGACTCTGTGGAATTCATTTTGTTTACAATGACAATTGTTTCAGACCCAGTGCATGAGCCAAAAGGGTGTTGACACAAGTTTATTCATTCTTAGACCTTCCCGTTTCAAATTCACCTACACCAGCAGAACAGCCAGGAAAACACAGCCCAATATTGCCTGTTGTGCAGTGGTTTGGATGGAGTCCCTTCATGCCAGGGCATCAGTACTACTCACACATCTGCTGTGTCATTTCCAGAGAGTTCTACAGTTGTCCATCAGATGTCCAGTAGTGGTGGGCTTCTTCACATTAATGTCCCTGGTGATGATGATTTTGATAAGAATCCTTTTCATTTCCAGCTTTGACTTAGTGGGAGTTTTCATAAAACCTATGTGTCATCAGTAAACTCATAATTGGGGGTAGGGATGTGGGGGTGATCTGGCTGCGACATCTGTTACCCCATTGATCGCCAGGATTGATTTGACTGATCTCCTGTCTGGGCTGGTGTCCCCTTCCTCCCTCCCTCACCACTACCCCGTGTGCGTCCCTCCCAAAGCTGAGTGCTCTGTTGAAGAGGATGACCTTCCTTGAGTGAAGGAGGACCATCTGCGGTCAAGGGTATATGTAGCTGCGCCTCCCCCCACCCCAGAACCTCCAAACAAGCTCTCATTATTGGGAGTAGAAAGTTGCTGACAATTTTAAAATATGCTAGCTACAATATGTTTATTATCTCTAAGAAATTTAATATTGCCACAGTATTTTAAAATACATAGTCCCCATTTAATTTTCTCCAACTGTCTCCATAAAATAGAGTTTTGAAAGTTTACATCCAAGATTCTGTCAAGGATCACATATGATCTTGCTTTTAAAAATTGCCTAGCCAGGTGGTGGTGTTGAATGCATGCCTTTAATCCCAGCACTTGGGAGGCAGCGGCAGGCAGATCTCTGTGAGTTCAAGGCCAACCTGATCTACACAGCTAGTTCTAGGACAGCTAGTGATGTTACACAGAGAAACCCTGTCTCGAAAAACTAACCAACTAACCAACCAACCAACCAACCAACCAAAACAAAACAAAACAAAAAAACCCAAACAAACAAAACCCCCCAAATTGCCTAGTTTGGCTGAGTATGGTGGTGCACACCTTTAATCCAAACACTCAGGAGGCAGAGGCAGGAGGATCTCTGCAAGTTCAAGGTCAACCTGATCTACATAGTGATTTACAGGACAGCCAGGGCTATGTAGAGAGAACCTATATCAAAACGATGCAAAACAAAACAAAAATTTGCCTAGTTTTAAAATATATGTATCTATCAGCAATTCATGCTTATAATTCCAAGAGAGTAATAAAACCCAGTGTGAGGAAGGCTGTACCAACAAGAGGACTCTGCAGCTCCGCTTGTTTTTCCTTCTTCCCTGGAGAGCCTCTGTAACAGTCTCCGTTCACATCACAGCTGTGTGCACTGTGACTCTCCGAATAGCTCCCGGGCCACTTTCACCCTGCCTTGCCGCCTAGATTAGAGACCCTTGCCTGGAACTCAGGTCTTCCGTCTTGATTCATTTCCTAATTTGGGTACAAAACATCCTCCCGTCGCTTCTTGCAGAGACCCCAGCTTTTAAGTACACGTGTCTGTCCTTTCTTCCTCCTCTTGTCTCCCCATTAGGACAGTCACTGGAGCTGTATAGAGCACTGGATGAATTTATAACCTTTCCTTTCGGGTTAGGGTGGAGTGGAAATTAAAGCTTGTGTCCAATTGTCTATCTTGTTAGGCAATTCATGATTCTTATTAACATTCGTAATGATTAATCATGTTTTTTCTTTAGAAGGACCAGTTCTTCAACCACATGTATTAAATATGCCTTATTTTATTTTACTATGGGAATAAATGGTCCTCTGGGTAAGGATATTAGTAGATAAAATACTCGCGCCACCTAGTGGAGTATCTGAATTAACATCATTCGCTTCGAATCTGACAGGAAGTCTTCAGAAACTTGCAAGACGTAGAAAACGCATCCTTACCTATGTCCTTGGCGTCTCTGTGAAAAATCTTCCCAAGTAGAAGAATATCTTGAGACCTACGTGTAGTGGCACACACCTGTTATACCAGCACTGGGAGGTGGAGGCCGGAGGATCAAGTTCCAGGTCAACGTGGACTGTATAGTGAGACCCTGTCTCTAAACCCCAAACCAACCAACCAACTAATCACTAACCAAAACCATATCCAAAAGAATGTCATATCTACTCTATGGCACCTACCCTTACAATTATTTCATAGTTTATTTTAGCATCTGTTAATTTTATCTTTTGTTTTGAGGCCAAGTCTACGTGTAGCTCAGGTTAGCCTGGAACTTGCAACCCATATGCCTCTGCCTCTTGAGTGTTGGGATGACAAGCATGTGCCTCTGTGTCTAGCTTCATTTAATTTAATGAATATCTGAAAAATATTACTGTTGAGACATTGTTAACAGCGTGAAACATGTATGATCTTCAGCCTTTATTCCGGGGCCATCTGCTCGTATAACTGACTAACAAAACATCAAGTAGCACTGCCAGCTATTTTATTTTATTACTTTGTAATTGAAAATAAATAGGGCATGTGTCTAGTAAATTCATGTAACTAACTAGTTCATGAACACGGCTCTACATGTTGTCGGCCACCGGCTCCAAGGATCAAGCTTCCGTCTCAGAAAACTGGAGTGCTTGAGAAACATGGACAGCAGATTAGTGTGGTAGCAGTGATGGGGGATGTAAGAGCAGCAGCCAGCATCCACAGAGCCTTCTACACCAGGCTCTTCTGACTCGGCTCACCCTCTCAACACCTAATGGAAGAGATACTGTTTTTTTTTTTTTTTTTTTGTTTGTTTGTTTTTGAGACAGAGTTTCTCTATGTAGCCCTGGGTGTCCTGGAACTTACTCTGTAGACTAGGCTGGCCTCGAACTCACAGAATTAAATTGCATGACCGGGTGCTGACATCAGGCTGTGCCTATTCTAATTACTCCATATTGTGTAAAGCGGTGGTTTTCTTCAGATTGTGCCTACCTTCAAGAGAGACTCCATTTTACAAGCAGCTGTGGAGTCCATTTTGAGGGAGAGGGACGACTGGAGCCCGGGAACACTTGTAAACCACACTATCTGTGTGGCCCCACGCAGG